ACGTGCTCAGTAGAAGTTTAACATGCATAATCTCTGTTTTCGCATTTTTTAGCTTTTTTCTAAAAGGATAACAATTTCTGGATGTTGGAGTCTAGAAGTAGTATAAAAAAATCGCAGTCATGCTTTATCGGGGACATAGACACTCGGCCTTTGGCCTCGTGTCTATATCTCCCAATAAAGCACTCCTGATCGTTTTTTTAAACACTACTTAAAAATAAATTTTTGAATAATGACTTATATTATGAGTTGGACAGTTTGGAGGCATGATGGAACTGTTAACATTATTATAGTGAAAAGCCCATTTTCACTATAATRATGTTACAACAGTCACCAAAACCAGAATGCTTTTCCACCTTTTTTTGTAAGTAAATTAGTGCTAAATATTTTACTAATCCTCAAAAGAAAAAATATTTTGGAACAAGATAGCAATCAAAAGTATTGGTAGTAAGTCATCCAATCAACTTCAAGGCTTCTTGTCCTTGTTGTGGGCGCGACTGACCTTGCTTTATGTCTTCTTKTCCTTGYTGTATCTCATCTAGCCTTTTGCTTACTGTGGAACAAAAAAAATACATGACATCAGTGCTTTTTATAACTGCCGAATTAAACATATACTGTAATATYTTGTCAACAGGTGAGCTTAATAGTCTAATCATTTAGACAATTGTATTCTTAGAGCAGCCAATATCTTGTCAACAGGTGAGCTTAATAGTCYAATAATTTGGACAATTGTTTTCTTAGAGCAGCCAATGCCATGTTGAATTTAAATTAAAAATGCAGAGTAATTTGAGGTGATCTCCTCAAATTATAAGTTTTGAAAATACACGACGAATACTGTATTGTTACAACCTATCTATCAATGTACAATGTACTTACTTGTATCAATTCCTTGTAGGATGTCTTTGTCTTGATCTGAGCACTGCTTGACCAAAGATAACAGTTTATTCAATTCCAGCTTCTGTACATCTGAGAAACACAAATCATGTAATTTAATCACATCAATTCAAAACTAAAATAAATTATTGATTAATTGATTTAATTAGTCTATTGATGATTGCAGCAGGTTTTGACATCTAATACATTATTTTCATTGATTATATCATTATTTTGCTTTCTTGTTTCCTTTCTATGTATACTGGGTCTTTAGTATATTTCTTTATCTACATGTATAACAGATTTTAGTAGTTTCTCTTTTACTGCAAAAGTTTTTAAATAGGTTAGTAAATATATTCTATGATATGCCTTTAGATACTACTACACATACCATCTTCAACCTTCTTGACTTCCAGTGCTGAAGCACCCACTAACAATAACGCATTACGTACATCATTGAAAAGAGGAGTAAACTCTGCAGATGTAATCTTTGCACTTGCAGTATGAAAATATTTATTTCTTGTTTCCCTCAAATATGTCAAGCCATCAACTAAAGCTTTGTTGACAACATGAACTATTGGAGGTCTGGAATTCAATAGCACTTTGACAAACAGAGATATATCCCACTTTGTAGTGTCCCCTGACTGGACTTTAGGTCTTTCATAAGGTGGATGTGGGTTGTACATGGTCAATAGGTCAGTGCCATTCTGATGGCTGTCAGTCCATGGAACAAAGACACCACTATGCATGGTATTCCATTCATCTATGAAAAACTTGCGCAACTTTACCAGGCCTACYCTGTTTAGCAGTAGTACCAGGCAGCAATAATTCCTGTAAAACAAASAAATATTAGGTAAGCATGATTTTGGTCAGGTTACTGCTGTTGAACAAATTCATTTAAAGAAAATCTAACATTATTTTGAGGGCAGGATTAAAAAAAATTTATAAACAGAATTTATATATATGATATCAAAGAGGCAAGATTTTGCTGTAACTCCGAGGCAAGATTTTGCTGTAAACTCGGAGTTACAGCAAAATCTTGCCTCTTTGATATCATATATATAACTAGCTCTACACTTTATGTGTATTGAGAACTCTTTAATCATGGGATCAGCCACTTCCTCATACGATTAAACAGAATTTATAAACAATTGATATCTTTTTTATCTATCTAAATTGATATACTGTATTTTTTATCATTTAAATGGCTTTGGGTAAAATTATTGTAAACAACCATGCTACTATAAATAATGAACCATTTAATCACCATGTGCTATAATGACAATGAAAATATTGATTTTTGTTTGTTTRTATGTCAGTAATCATACCTTTCTTCATCATCCATCCTTCAACAATATTTTGGTAAATATATCATACATATATTTGCTTTAATACTAGATGAGTTCTGCAATTAAAATTTATATGAAATAAAATATTCTATTTATAAAAGTAATTTCTTTATAGTTAATGGAAATAACTTTGTCTAAATTATTGTACACAACCATGATATAAAAAATTGGCATAATCATCATAATTAATCTGAATTTTCCAGAGATTTGCTAAAGGGGAGGGACAGGAAGCCCGACACAAAAACGGATGTGAAGGAGACTATGTCATGGTTGAAAAGCAGCAAATTTAATAAATTGATCATTTTTCATGCATAACCAAAAATTACTAACTATAAAACATATCACAGACTTCTAAAATACATCTAAAAATATTTTGAAGCCAAAAGAAGTTCTGGTGTTCTATATGTAAAAGTGAGATACAGTCAACTCTCTCATAAGCGACCACCTTGGGATCAGGAAAAAGTGGTCACTAACACAGGAAACCCAAACAATGATAATCTCAGCAAAGAAGGCCCAAACAGTTCAAAACACGTTGTTCGTATTTCAGTGTATAAAATCTTTGAACAATTATACTGCTATCATGCCATTCCTCAAATTCTTGAAGTTGATTTTATTGACCTAATTCTATTGTTTTCTATGGTATAACTAACACTATAATGTATTTGATACTAAATAGTTCGCTTTTACGGTTTGCACTCTATTAAAGTAACCAGAAATGTACTTTGAGTAAGCTTTATAATAGCCTGAGTATCAGGCTCTCTCGAAGGGGTTTAGGGCGGAGCRAGAAAGGAGAGAGAGCCTGACACAATCTTCTATCGAGAGCCGTTCCGCCTCCTTGCAATGCGTGACGCGTGACAATAAATTTAAGCCAATTTAAAAAAGCTGTTCCGGTTTGCTTGATTTCTCGATGTGGCGGTTATATGTCAAAATTTATTTGAAAAGTAGCAGCTTTTATGCCGATTTTTACCAGATTCTCAACTTGTGAACGTCTAATAAACTCTAGAGGATTGATCACTATAATATTGAATTGTTTTACTCCGTTATAGGTCGGTGTAATGTTAGTGTTATATGAGACGTTTCCGTTAATCGGTTTGTTTTTGTACGCGTAAAAACAAACCGATTCAAGAACGGSTTGATAACGTAGTAAAAAATAGAATAAAATACAACCAGGGTACTATTAAAGCTTTCCCAAACTGTTATTCACTTATATCAAGAGTCATAGCGYCGTTCGGTAACATAATAATTATATATATTTTAATTCCTGTCACTTCCTTTGTCCTCTAGACCAATCAGCGTTTCGGCCATGAAACGGCCGCCGAACACGGCTCTCGATAGACGATTGTGTCAGGCTCTCTCTCCTTTCTCGCTCCGCCCCAAACCCCTTCGAGAGAGCCTGATACTCAGGCTAGCTTTATAAGTAAGTTAAAAACACTCCCAGTTTATTGCGTAAATCGTAGTTGCTCGCTTACGGGAGATGAAAAACTAGACGCTCTTGGAGCGTGAAGTCGGACTAGCTATTTTTGAATGTATATCATGGCRTAGAATATTATATTTTTTACTTCTAATACATAGTGAAAGCAAGAATGCGTGACCGTTTATTCACAGGATACGATATTCTTTTCGACTGCTCTCTGCAACGACTTCAAAACAATAGAATTTTGACCWAAAAGGTCATGTAATTAATACTTGAAGACTAGATGTCTCTAAGTGATATCATATCTAATACGTTTTTAATTCAAATTGTTGACCTCTCAGGCCATGAAAATAAATACTTTTAAAAAGATGCCTATAAAATAATCAAAGTCGCCTTTTTGTCATTGATCAACAAAGTTTCTTCTTGTTCTAATTTGAAATCTTTGCCCCCACAAGACTGTCTAACACTAGAAAGGATATTGATTCAGTTTTGTAAGCATACAACTCGAAACTCTATGCRATCTGCACATGCGCGTACTTCTAATGCCTAGACAGATGCATTTCGATGAGATCACAGATACCACATTTGTAAACGAATAGTTTTTTTGTCATATAAAAGCCAGGTAGCATATAACACTTACTAACGATATTCGTACATCAGTACGCTTGAGCTTCCGGTCATGTAATAACACAGCCAACCCAATAGTTAATTATTAAATTCTTAACTTCCGGTGGTCCAAACGCGACATAATACATAGATAGATAGATAGATTGATAGATTGATTGATAGGCTAAAAGGTAAATTTAAAGTCGGACCGCCTTCGGCTAGTTGGACTAACAATGAAAAATTCTACAATTTCAATTTCAAGGTGGTCGTGGTCGCCTACGAGAAAGTTTATTTTTACAGAGTTTATATGGGAAACAAACCAGGAAATTTAAAGGTGGTCGTTTACGGAGATGGTCGCTTACGAGAATGGTCGTTCATAGAGAGTTAACTGTATATTTCGAGAATCAAATCTACTCTTCCAGCACAGACGAGCACTGACTTTCGACAAAAACTAGACTAACAGCTGATATATAACTTAACATGCCGGTCATATGCTACGGATTCTCCACTTGTAATATACAATATGGCCTAAAACTACAGATTTCCTTCAGAAAACAAGTTAAAAATTTACCCAAACTTCGCAAACTTTGTCTGCTTGCTTTGTGGAAGTTTTCTGTCCTGCTGTGCAGCTATGCGATCAAGGGTGTGTTAATGATTGACAGGTACCTAATAAGGTAAGGTTGCATATTGATTTACAATATTTCCTTCTAGAAGATTCTGTGTATTTGTTTTTAGCATTTTTGTAAATAATGTAATTTTTATAATATGACTTTTAGTAAGATATTTATGCAAGTATGTATTCAATAGATTGAGTAAGGGTCGAAAATTTTATGAAAATATTTCACACAGTTTCATTACTCGAGCGAGATTTGGCTTTCGACAACAGCTGATATCGTTTAAACTTCGCTAGCTTGTTCTTCACTTGCAATAAATAAAAGATTTCTTTAATTATATCTTATAAATTACAAATGCGATAATTTAAGCACGATACTTACCGGAATTTTGTCTGCTTGCTTGGCTTCGTCGAAGTTCCTGTTATGCAGCCGGTATCGTTTAAACTCGGCTCCTTATACTTTACTAGCAATAAATGTGACCTAAAACCCAAGATTAACCTCAATATATCTTGGAAATCAAGTTTAGATGCTTTTAAATTCGATAATTTCAGGAGATTCTGACACTACTTACAGAAACTTTGTCTCGGTTGCTCGAAATAGCTTCACTTCCTGCTGTGCAGTCCTATGATCAAGGGTGTGKTAATGATTGACAGGTGCCTTATAAGGTGAAGACGCATTTTGATTAGGGAAATTTCCCTCACGTGATGATTGCTTTTAGCAGAAGATTGTTTATTTTTTAAGCATTTTTGATAATGCCTTGTTTGTAATATGACTTTTAATCTTTCAATAGATTGAGTAGAGTTAAAGACAAAAGGGCCATGCATAATTAATAACAAATGTTAGCGTGTTAGTTTAGAGCAATATGCCGAAATTATGATCATTTTGACTCATATTCCAACAGTTCCAA